TTTTTTTTTTTTTACATGATTCTGATAGTTTCAGTCTAATCTTCACAGTTGGCATGTTTCAGCAGAGATTGTTTTGGTGTAGATATTGTCACAATGTAATGCAGGTTTCACAAAGAGGTTGTTTTTGAAGTAAGGTGGAGTTAAAAACTATATTTGATCCAGATAAAAACATAAACTATGTGTAAATATCAAAATGCTGTTATTCATTTAATATGTGAAGGTGTTTACATACTGTAAGAGGCTTGAAGGCACAGAGGCAAAGAATGGTATGTTTAGTTTTTGGAGTTGAAAAATGATCTTAAAAACAAAATTGTGCATGGTACATGTTAAATACTATTATCTTGTGAATAAAGTGCTGCCATCATTTACTCATCCTGATGTTGTTCCATACATGCATGACTGTCTTTCTTCTGCAGGACAAAAAATTTGATGTTTTTAAAATTTTTTTTTTTTTTTTTGGTCCATACATTGAAAATCAAAGTGGTCCCTTATTTTTATTCAAAATATATTTTGTGTTGCATGTTAGTCATACAAGTTTGGAACAACATAATGGAGAGTAAATGATGACAGAATTGTCATTTTTGGGTGTACTATCCCTTTAAGAGCAAGTTTTTTAAAACAGACTTATAATGAAAATGCACTACATTCCAGTGGTATATTTCCACTAAACCTCAGCTCCTGAAAATCTTCACACCCTCTCAGAACAAGACACAAATTTAAAAATACCATTAAATGCATTATTTGTCCCATTTGTTATAATTACCTGCATTGTTGTGGCGTATGTAATATCATTAATAACAGCTCGTGCCCAAATAATACGCTTAATGTTATTTATCTGTAGATAGATGCGGCTAATCCTCATTCATTTGCTCTGAATCAATGCAAATCCGCTAGCGTGAGCGAAATCCCTCCCTGAGCCTGTGGCTCCTAATGCATTTTCCCACCATTAACCAGCTATAATCCCTGCTAATCATTGCTAATCCACATCTCCTGTGTTTGATGATACTCTACTGATGGAGGAGGTGGCGTTGTGACTCAAATGCCCAGGCTCAGCCCGGGTCTGTGGTTCGCCAGACATGGGCATGAGCCAGGAAGTGATTTGTACTGTGGAGAGAGAAAGGAGCCACTGGGTTTTCAGGTAAGCCCGATGGCAATGGCCATCCCAGAGTGCATCTTCCTGTTGTTTGGTGTAATTATGCACAAGTAACAAAGCTGTACTCATCAGACTTGCACATTTAAGTGCTCTTCTCCTATAGATTGTCTTTAATGGGTGCTTCTTATTCAACCTTCAAGCATTTAGTGTCTTTATACACGAAACCCTTAGTCTGTCTCCATGAAGTTTGAGAACTTTTAGGACTTTAGAAGCCAGTTTTGTAATCCAATTTTTGTAGAAAGCACCAATCAATAATGTCTTACATATAGGGCCTACGAACGGTTATTTCATAACCACCATAATATGACTTTGTCTCACAGCAGGATAAATTAATGCACATCCTTTGTCCTGAGAGTTTAACTGGTGGTCACTGGAAATGTATGGTCCAGAATTTAATGATTCATAAGTCACCGTCAATCAGGGCATACATCCCATTTGAACAAAAGCCTAACTCTTTGGAAATACAGGCTGCTGTGGACATGCTATCTGCTTTCTTACAGAGCTGTCGTTCATAGTGACATCTGCACAAACTCTGGCCCCGGAGACTCATTCGACACACATTCATTCATGGTTTACTGTGTCTATTTATAACCACAGTGGTAAGTCATTTTTAGTGGCGGATTAGTTAATATGATGTCACATTTAGAAAAGTGCAGTTTACTTGAGTAGTTTTAATGATAAAAAAAGATGTGTGTGTGTGTGTGTTTGTGCCACACATTCTCATTCCAGGTAACATCACTCTTCAATTCCATAGTTTAACAGATTCCCACTAGCTCTTCTTCACCTAGACACACCTGTACCACCTTTGCCCTGTATCTGGGTGGGCTAAAACATGGAAGGTAACTGCATATTCTAAGATGCTTATCTCTTTCCTGATCTTTCTGTCTCTTTTTACAACTGGTAGAATAGACATAAGCTTGGAAATATTCCCGTTGATTTCTTCCCATTTCCCAACGAGCACTGGATATTAAATAAGAGCTACTTTCTCTCTCTAACAAGGAAATAATGAAGTAATACACATTCTGTAAGATTTGTTCCATAGACTGTAAAGCTTTGGGAATAAGTCTCTGTTTTAGGAAGCTGATTTATTAGAAGAAAAGGTGTGCCAAATGACAACCTATCAAAAAAAATGGTCTCACTTCTAACATAATTTTTAAAGCTGTTATTATTTGAAATATAAACTTTTTAGAGATAAATGTTGGCATGGGATTAAAGTAAGCACATCATCTGAGAACCAATGGATTACTTGGATGACTTTTGAAGAGGATTGTGGAAAATTGAACCACGAACCCAATGCACCGTAGCTCGTGCATTAACTCTTTACGACGTTAGGGGGCGCTTGGGAATCACTGTTTTCTCTTAACTTCTCTTCCAATGCGATGCCTGAATAATTGGACACACAGCTCGTATCACATACATCACAAGCCACAAATGTTAGTTGTCTAAGAAAAAATTGAAAAAAGAAAGAAGCCAAGGTATAAGAATTTTAAACTTGATCACTTGTTTAATTTATAGCCTAACAAACATTTTCTCGGTTGGTATATTAAGTTGATGCTGAGATGAACTTAACTATACTAAAATAGTTTTTTAAAAATGTCATTAGTTGTATAAATGATTTGTACTTCATTAACTACCTCATTTTTAATTAATAAAAGTTGCCATTTTGCAAACAGCCTACGTTCTACACAAAACACACCAAATCCAATGCGAACGGAGAAGAACCGGGGGAAAACGAATAGAAAGAAATAAAGAAGTCAATGAGAACTTTTCAAATGGGAAAAAAATATTTACATATCCAACGACAGATTTAAAATATTGTTAACACAATTGTTATTAGGTCCCTATCTACAATTTGGCAAAATACGGCAATGTAATTTTGCCAGAAAACATTCTTAGCCTACGTTACTCTTTACATTACTCACTAATAAATAACATAACATTTTTAATAACAGATTTCACATGACTACGTTCATTTTCAACCAGCATTTATCAGCATCCTGATGCATGCTTTGATTTGTCTAAAGCCGTGCTTAAAACTTATTAAACAGGAGAAATATATATATATATATATATATATATCTATATATATATCAACGCAAAGCAAACGATAACGAGCTGAGAGTGTTGTAGTGTTGTCTGTAAGGGAAATCAGTAGCCTATCATCAAACGATGAAGATGCCTCAGAAGATGCTTATAAAAGAAATAGGAATCTTCTTAAACACTTCGAATTCTGATTTGCGAGTCACTGATTAAAAAAACAATTACAGCAAGTTCGCAATTCCAAGCTCATGTGAAATCAAACGAATTTAGCTATGTCCTTTTATTTATTTAATATTTTTGTTCTTAGAAAACAGTCAAGACTGCTTTAGATAACTGGTTTTGGGATACATTTGCATGCAGTCAGTAGTATGGGATCTTGGTGTTCTAAAGTAAATAATTGACACAATCCACTGTTTTATTTTTATTTTTTTAGAACAACCACACATTATACTTTTTAAAACGTATAAACCTAGAGTTTATAAAATAAGAAACTGGAAATTCATGAAATGAATGGTAGGCCTACTGGTATTAGACTTTAAAAGTTTGACGTACCTCAATATATAAATCCATTATTGTAGACTTGACGGTGCCGTTATGTTGAAGTTTTCTCTTACAAAGTTTGTGCATTTCTATTAATCGTAGTTTTTAATTATGTTTTAATAGAGCGAAAGCGAATTGTTAACATTTCTAGCTCGAAAAATAGTGTCTAAAACATAGTTGAAAATGTTTTTAAACTACACGATTGTCCACATTAAAATGTTGTTTCTTGTGTGAATTATTTTTCATTCATTTCATCGTGCATGAGCAAAGAAATTATATGATCATAGCATGAGTCCGTGCATTGATTTAAACACATCGACCAACAATTTTGAGGTTCGAATGGCAACAAACAAGGAATCCAGAGTCATTTTATGAACCCTTATTTCGTTCACCATGACCATAATATGCGTGAAATGTGCTTCAAAAAAAGACATAAGTCGTGTTCTTGTATATATGTTTTATGTAAGTAATAAAATATGACTATAACATAAATATAAACGTGACTTTGCAGTCTACATTTCGCAATCAACATACAACCAATGTAGTAAACAAAACATTTGTAATCCACTGCAACATAATCATCAGAGCCGAACAAAAAAAGCTCCAAACACACGTAGGAAATAAATATATATATATAGAAATGGTCATAAATGAAATATTAAAATATCTTCTTGGAATTAGTAAGTGTACAAAACTGCCCGGAAAACCAAACCAAACAAAACAAAACGAACCCAGAACAAATACATATGTTCACATATTCGACATATTTACATATTGGAAATAATCCTGACAACTATTTATTTAAAATCTTTTCTCTTGTAATTTATTTTTATTTTTATTACTTTTTTGGAAAAGGTTGTATAATCACACTGTTTCAAATAACACTGCAGAAATGAACACCTGCTGTCCAATGAAAAATGCCAGACCTTGAGGAACAACCCGAAACGTTACCAGCCTACTATTTTTCCTCCAATCCTGAAAAGAAGTCCCGAAAACACATCCCTTATTCACTACAACAACTACTTTTCTCCGTGTCCAGGCTCATGAGTAGGATGCAAAATGTAATTAACAGAAACTAAACGGGCACAGCTGACATAGAGAGCGTCAAGAGTTGGCCAATTTGAAGAAGAACTAAGAGTACAGCACGATTTTTGGGCACTGAAAATTACCTGAGATATTTCTTTCTTTTTCATTTTGACTCATCACTCTCAATATGTTTAGCTGGAGCAGACTTGCTGGAATAGTGCCGGTTCAAAATAACACGAAATCGAAAAAGAAAATTGTAAACAAGCAAAGCATTAATGTTGTATACCTCAAACAAATACATTGTTAAAAAAAAAGGAAATTAAAATAACATTATATAACATTATAAGTGCCTGATGCAAAGAGGAAAAAATGAAAGCAGTAGAACTCAATATGACTAAATATGGTTTCAGACAGTGTATTCATGTTGCCAATTTAACGTCTATGCATCTTTAGACGATAGCAGGTGCTAAGAAATGATCATTGTAAACAGTTTCTGGTGCACTTGCTTGTGTTGGAGGTTTTGACCAAGTGCCTGTTCTTTACATCACGAATTTCATCTGTCTTAGTTGAAATTAAAGTAAAATACTCGCTAGACAGAAAAAAAGATCTTAACGTTAAAACGTTCTAAAAAAAAAGAAGTAAACAACACAAATAATGTCGGATAAATCATTGTGATAATTAATCTGGTTAATCGCGTTAATAAAATCACTGTCCACTCTCCTTTGTCCAATGAGACATTGCCCTTTTTGTGGCTCGTAGCTCCCTTTGATCGGCGGTGAAAGAATCGAATTTTTCCAGAGTGGCACAAGCGATACGATTTTCGTAAACACTGGTACTGATTTGATAAATGCACGCGAAGCTGACGTGGTACTTAATGCATTTTCACGTTATTCAGAATTATTGGCGTCCCGTAAGCTGTGCGGTCACTGTCAGCGAACTCTTCCCAAACTTTTTTGTCTCTGATCTCTTGGGATAAACAAAGGGGATAAACAAAATCCATTGTAGTTTCTTTTCAAACAAGTACACTGTTTATGATAGCAGTCACTGGACAGAACTCTGTAGCGTGTGATGGAGAGGGGGTGTCTCCGCTTGTGAGTATACGTCCTCCATGGTTGGATGAGGGACCCCCACCGGTGTCATTCTTTTCTCTTTTTGTCTTCTGTTGCAAAACCACACACGCACAACCTCTTTTTCCAACTGCAGAGTGCCAGCTAAAGAGGTGATTTCGTGGGCGGAGGGCTTGGGGCACTTTAAGAAATGGTTTTCCAGTGCCCCTTTCACTCCGACTTCGATGGAGGTCCTCTTCTTTCGTTTCCGGCCCTGTGCTGCAATCTTGTCCAAATTCGTGGGGCTGCCAGTGTTTGAATCTGTCTCCTCGAGCCATTTGTTAAGCAGAGGTTTAAGTTTGCACATGTTCTTGAAACTCAGTTGCAGAGCCTCAAATCGACAGATTGTGGTTTGGGAAAAGACGTTTCCGTAGAGCGTGCCCAGCGCTAAGCCCACGTCCGCCTGCGTAAAACCAAGTTTGATGCGTCTCTGCTTGAACTGTTTGGCGAATTGCTCCAGGTCGTCGGAGCTTGGGGCGTCTTCGTCCGAGTGGTCCTGGTGGTGGCTGAACGGCTGCTGAGGTGACTCCATCTGGTTGTCATGGCTACCCGCGTCGTCGTGGAGCGGGTCCCGCAAGCCGTGGTGCAGCGACGGCTGGGGGCTTAACATAGTGTAGCCCGTCTGAGAGTAGACCAGCGACTGGTGACCATTGGAGGCGGGAGAGAGCGGGGATAAGTGGTGTGTTGTAGTCGGCGCCCATGATCCGTGGTGGCTGTTTTGTGTCGGCTGGTGGACCAGATGCGATCTGTGATAGCCGTTCCCCAGGTCTTCTCTGCTCTGCACGCTGCCTTTGTTGTGCTCCGCTTGTCCGATGTGGGTGCCGCTGGTCCAGTCGGTGTTGGAGGTTGGCAGCCACTGGTGGTGCGTTAGGCTCATCGGATGTCCTGTGTTGGTCGCTAGCCCTTGTAAGTACTCGTGGTGCATCATTTTCTGCACTTCTCTATAGGTCGTCCCCTGGTGCATCCTGTCCGAATCCGGATGCATTAGCGGGTTCGAAGGCAACGAGTTATTCCGCGGAATATACTGAGCTGTTGTCGCCATGGCTCCGACTTAGAAAAATGACAAGCACTTCAGAGATCTTTGAGCTTTAGAGCCCAAAACGCAACAACCTGCTCTGGGAGGTCTTAGTGAAGAGCTAAGACACGCCTCCCCTACGCGTGCATTGGTTCCTCGCCGACTACAGCCCACCAGGGTTCCTTATTACCTCTTGCGGGCCGCTTGGTTGGCTGCCGGGCGCCGTGATCCCAGTTACTCGCAATCGGCCGCTTTCACGATTTCTCTTTTTTCCCTTTCTTCTCCTCTCCCCGCTAGTCTAAAGAGCGTGAGCAGCAAAACCATAGGAAATTACTGGGCTTTGAGGGTTGTTTTGCAAATAACCACGTGGGGGAGTGTGGTACTCTTTTTGGTGGGGTGGAAGAATGACCCGTCTAGCATTGCCTCCTTTTAGTAACTGTACCGCTCCTCTTTGCAAGTAGATTAGTATTCTAAAGTATCTCAGGAGCCACCCAGAAGAAAGATGAGAATCAGTATGTTCATTAAAAGATGTTTATATGGCAATATCATTTAAGTGTTACCCACATACACAATTATTTATGATTATCGTGTTATTGAAGTAGCACACGAATGCACAATCACGGAAGCATGCATCGAATTAATAAAACATCATACAGAAATACCGCCCGCCCACTCTGTAACATATCAGACAATCTCCATCATTATGCATAAATGCATAACCAATCTTCAGCCCACCCTGTAAAAAATACACTACCCATCTAATTTTATTTACACTTATGCAGTGCATACGCGTTTTAATATTTCATGTAAATTTCACTGGGAGTAAATTTAAGTAAAATTCCACATTAGCATTTACAAATTAGTACATTTAAGTTGTTGGCTTAATAAACTCATATTTAAGCCAACAAATTTTTAACAAACATGCAAAGTCAAACATACAGAATAACTCGAAGCATTTTTCTAAACCGTAACTTTGAGAGAAATCCAGTGTTTCTCCCTTCTGGCCTCCTCCGTATTCCTTTCCCGGCTGATCTGATTATTTTCCCCTTCACGTTTTGTCCCAATAGCAAATTACCAATTCTATGAATTGCAAAGCAGCCTCGGAGACGCTGAGGGGTAGAGAGGGGGAGATGCGAAGATTGAAAGGGATCTTTGCAAACACAATCACGTTCTTAAATGGAAATGTGGGGCTTTAAACAAATCTTACATCTCTCCTGTTCCAGTCGTCGAAAACTCCGCAATCAGGCACACGTTCGACTCCATCTAAAACCACAGCTTTTTTTAGAAGATTTTTTTGGTATCACTTCTATTTAAATTATTTACCTCACTGTATTTTTTTAGTTCACGTTCGTGTTTGTGTGTTTGTCTTGCTCTAATGGGGTGTTTCCACAGGCTTTTGCGAGGAAATGTGCCGTTACATGCGGAGAATTCAGGCATCAAACCAAAACGCTTCTCTGTGGTAAGTTTGCACACTGCTTTTCTTATCTGTCCATCTGCACGAGCTTCACGCGTTCATGGAAGTGCAACCTAAATGATGTTCTTGGGGTCACAAGTGCTCGTCACCACTCTGTCAAAGGCGTGGTTATGTACATTTACATTTACATTTAGTAATTTTGCAGACGCTTTTATCCAAAGCGACTTACAATTTGAATGTAAAACCACCAGTTATTTATTTATCTATCACATATGCAATAACACTTGTAGAAGAAATGTCACCATTTTTTTTCTAAGGAACAGCTGATTATAACGTGTATTTTATACCAGATAAAACAACATGTCGGTTACTTTAATACGATTTTCTCAGATGGTTGACACCTGCACTGTAATATAAAGACATTTGCACAAAACTAAACTAACAGAACATGTTTTTGATAAGAATGACTTAACTTTACATCCAAAGCTTTTGAGCGTTTATATTAGACAGCATCTCCTTAGTTCCTTTTGAATATATTGTTGGAATTTGATTAATAAACAACTGTAATTTTTAGATACTTTATAATGAAAAACGCGGTGGTTTTGCGTCCACGATAATATTACAAATTCAATATATATATATATAAAAATGTTTTTCTGTGCGTGACCTATAGGGCGAAAATTAATATGTGAGCCACAAGAAGTTATAGGAAAGCAGATGACAGGATTTTATCTAAATAGTACAGTATAACTGATTGCAATTCGATGGCCGGTTCTGCCCCAGCGAGCCGCAGTTAATGAGGACGCTTCACTCTACAGTTGCTCTCATTTGGAAGTCTATAAAAAGAGCGGTCATTTATGCCCATAGAGCTGCGTCACAGTAGCAGCTCAGTCAAACTCTTCGCTTAGTTTGCCAGCTAAAAAAAGCGGTTCAAAAAGCCCCCAGATGCTTCTTTTTTTCCTTCGCAAAGAATATGGCCTTGTGTGGAGCGAGGTGAATTTTTCCTGGGATGCACGACGTTGCTATGGAGAGCGGTTTGAAAGGATCACACTGATCCTGCAGATGAATGATTTGCCATACAGGAAAAGACAAATAATAGCCCTTGTTTTGTAAGATGGCAATGAAAGACAGTAGAAAACAATTGTGAGCTTTGAGTATCCAGGATGTACTAAATCTGGTTACAGAATTTCATAGCTCGAAGTTTAAGAAAAAGTTTTACTTATATCTCTGTTATAAGTTAATTTTCTTTAGGTTAAACCAGGCTGATTTGAATTCAAATATTAAGATAATAAATTAAAGTATTTGCTGGAAAATGTGCTATAATTATCTCATTAATTAATTTGATGTTCAAGTAGCTCTATGAGAAACTTTTAATTTTCATAATGTTTCCTTTCGTTTACAAAAATATAAGATTGGTTTCTTTCTTTCTTTCTTTCTTTCTTTCTTTCTTTCTTTCTTTCTTTCTTTCTTTCTTTCTTTCTTTCTTTCTTTCTTTCTTTCTTTCTTTCTTTCTTTCTTTCTTTCTTTCTTTCTTTCTTTCTTTCTTTCTTTCTTTCTTTCTTTCTTTCTTTCTTTCTTTCTTTCTTTCTTTCTTTCCTTCTTTCTCACGATTCACGCGTCTGTAGTCACGTGCTTTAATCTGCACGAGGGACCCCCTCCACTTGAATATAATTAGAGTCTGGTCGGTCAAACCCTCCATTAACCATAGGCCAATGTAAAATTGGCTCCTACGGATCTAGTTTTTTTTTTCTCTCACGATTCACGCGTCTGTAGTCACGTGCTTTAATCTGCACGAGGGACCCCCTCCACTTGAATATAATTAGAGTCTGGTCGGTCAAACCCTCCATTAACCATAGGCCGTAAAAGTGCACAGGAGAATAAGTTCAGAAAAACAGCAAAATATACACGGCGTTATCTGTGGGTGCCAAATGCTGAAACAATTCACGTGCAAACCTTTCATTAGAGATTAACAAGTTTAATTGTTTTGACTTTTCATTTATCTTAAAATTCCATTTTGACACTTTTAAAAATAGATACAAAATTGCTCATAAACTAATTCTATACCAACTTTAGAAAGCTCCATTAGTGCCATACATATCGACTGAAATGAGTGTTTTAATTAAAGATTCACCTCTCATTCCATTCTACCCGTTTGTTTTCACCGGTTCACTTTGACAGACACGTGTAATGGGTACCCGCGCTTCCTGAGTAGCCACGAATTTACAGACACATCCTGCGCTTTTTCAGGTACCTCTTTCTCTCTTTTTTGGTTAATGAACTCAGGCGATTCCGCAAGAATCCCGAGGGGATGGAACGGGAATGTTTTCCTTTCCGTAAAAGGTGTGGGCTATCTCTCTCCAACTCTCGATTTATCTTTGGGTTAATTAGGCGGGGCCCTGAAGACGCAGGCATGAATATTCATGTGAAAGCACCAGCGTGCAATTAGCCATGGAGTGAGTTCCTAACTTCAATCACTGGCCAGTGCAAAGAGAGAAGGGTACTCTTCCCTCACAGCCAGAGAACAAGCCTTTTTAAAACATAAAGTGTACGAGAAACTGCTAAGAGACTAACCTGACTTCTTTTTTTACACAGTTAATTCTATGCGCAGTCGATACTTTTTAATGAATGGCAACCCTATTTATAAATTACAGGCTACTCACATTCAATTTTTCCATTACCAGCATTTTATAGGATTTTGAAAGACTCAGAAGTGCATTTAGTCAATCTAGTATTTTATAGACTGAATTATGTTTTTAAATCACCAGATTCTATCCTAGATAGGAGTTTTCAACAGTTACAGACCCAGGGACCTCCATGCAGAGACTCCCAGAGACCCCACAATATAGAAAGCTTTATTTTCCAGTCTGTAATATCTTTCATTAAAAACATCAGCATTATTAAATTACATATTGCTCACCAGAACATAATGTTAATTTAAATTCAGCTTAATTTATCTTCTCCTCAGACTTCTGCAGTACCTTCACAGACCCCCAGGGGTCCCCTGGTGCAAAAACCCTTGGCCCTAGAGAGTATTTTAAATAAAATTAGCATGTATTGGATGGCATGTAATATATGAATGAATGAATGAGGCGTTTATATAGCACTTTATTGTGTATTGCTGTACACCCAAAGCGCTTTACAATCACATGGGGGGTCTCTCCTCATCCACCACCAGTGTGCAGCATCCACCTGGATGATGCGACGGCAGCCACAGTACAACGGCGCCAGTGCGCTCACCACACACCAGCTACAGGTGGAGAGGAAAGAGAGGTATAGAGCCAATTCAATGGATGGGGATTATTAGGAGGCCATGATTGACAAGGGCCAGTGGAGGGAATTTGACCAGGACACCGGGTTACACCCCTACTCTTTTACGAAAAGTGCCATGGGATTTTGAATGACCACAGAGAGTCAGGACCTCGGTTTAACATCTCAACCGAAGGACGGTGCTTTTTACAGTATAGTGTCCCGTCACTATACTGGGGCGTTAGGACCCACACAGACCAAAGGGTGAGCACCCCCTGCTGGCCTCACTAACACCTCTTCCAACAGCAGCCTAGTTTCCCCAGGAGGTCTCCCATCCAGGTACTGACCAGGCTCAGTCCTGCTTAGCTTCA